TATAATAATACTGTAATGTGGCCAGCTAATATTAATAAATAATATATTATTAATGAACAATAAGGCCTAAAGAATGAGTTGTAGTCGAGTATTTTAAATGAAAACATATTGACGAATTAATGTTAATTATAAACAATTTACTTAACATCAAAAATATTTAATAGCAATTTCTAAAATGACACATTAATGTTGATTAGAATATGTAAATTGGGTGTATGCATGTACAGTTCAACAAATAGTGTTAATATCGACGGATTAATCAGTGGACATTTTTATTATTGTTCAATACAAAGTTTCATATCTATGTTCGAGTATATAATATAATTGTATTATATATTATTCTACTGTGTTTTTCAAGTTTCTTATTTACAAAAGCACTTAATGAAAATGATAAAATCTCTTTTATTTTACTCCCATAATATAAAACTACAATAATTATGAAATTTTTCTCTATTTTTTCACTTTTTCCAATTACATGTAAAGTTTAAATAATTCACTTTATCTCAAAAACTTGTTTCAATACAAAAAAAAAAAAAAAATAATGCGGATAGCTCGTATTATTGTCACGATCACGCAATCAAATCAAAAACATGCCTAAAATAATTATTTCAATTATAATTAGCAGACATTATATGTAAATAAATATTTGAATGACAATATCAATATAAAATTATACTAAATTAAAGAATTTCTATTCATAAAATTAAATAAATTTTGTAATTTTATAAAAATTTAATATACTTACATATTATGTCATTCTGATTTGATAATTTGTTAAGATATTTAAAATATTTAACTATTTGTCATTGCATTCCTTTTCATGTATTAAAAGTTACTTACTACTACAATATAAAAATATATGGAAATAGAATGATAGAAATTTGTAATTATCTATCTTAACTATATTTACAATTAAAATGATAAAATTGAAAAATGAATAATTTTGAAAGTAATTAGATTAAATTTATTATTTGCCATTATATTCATTTTGCAATATGAAAAATTATTTTACAATCTTAATGATAGCGAATATCATTCGATGATTGTTGTGAGCATAGCTGAAAATACGACTGCAAAATGTAATAAAACTTCAGACTCACAACAGAATACAACAGAGACGTCAAATTTTCCGCTATTTTCAGTTTTGAAAATGACGAATGTAAAATATCTATCACAAAAACGCTGCGAACATGCTGAAAAATTCAACTAGTTTACGATCGCTTTCGACCAGTACATCTGCGACTGTGTGTAAAATTTAAATGGCACACGGCAGAATAAAAATGTACCTAGCAAGTAAATTTTTTTTGAAAAAATAGGTAATCAACAATAGGAGAAATCGCCAATGAGCTCGCAAGATCTTATGTACCGTGACAAACGACCTTAGTAAAAGATTTTAATATTTAATATATTTTTGTAAGGCGTAAGAGTGCCATAAATTTATTTTTATTGTCTAAAACGATAACTAATGCATAGTAATCCAAGCTATTTCAAATAAAAGCTTGACTGTCTCTTATTGTATTTATAATGATTTTCATTTATTCATTCATCATTTATCTATTGTAATCAATGAATATTTTTCACAATTTATTTGTGTAGAATGTGATTTAGAAATGAGATAATTACAAATACTAAATCGATAATAAATTCATGTATATATTATGGCACATAAACCTACCGTGAGTTTTCATTGTATTAAATTATTTTTTTTGTAAAAATCAGTTATCAAATATTTCTGAATTTTTTATCAAGTTTAATCATCGAGAAAAATCTTTAGCATTGTAATTTTAGGAAAAATTTGATATCAGTAATTGTATTCTTTTCAATTTAAACTTCAATACCGACCTTTATAAACTAAAAAAAAAAAAAAAGTTCTTACAATATACAACTATTATCTATTGTTTTAATATTAATTATAAATGTTGTATGTGTTCCGATAACTATCAAACCATTAAATAAAAAGTTATTCGACTTATTTTATTAAAAACAAAAAAAAAAAATTAATTATAATATGCTTCTTCAAAATGCATTAGCCTATAAACAATAAATTTTTCTTGTATTTCAGAAAGTAATCGTTAAGTAAAATGCCGAAAAAAGGTCGAAAAAAGTCGACGAGTAAGAAAAATGGTAAAAACGAAAAAAATGGCAATAGTGGTAAGGGTAAAAGGAAGGGTCAAAAAAAGGCCTCGAAAAGCTCAAAGTCTGGTGGTGGAAAGGCGAAATTTAGCATGGATATCTTCAATGAAGAAGCAGTAAATGATGCATATTATACTTGTCACAATATTATGGATGTCTTATTTTGTCGTGGTTTTCCTTGGCCGGATGTTCAGAAAAAAAAGAAGAAGGGAAAAAAATAGATCTTACGTGCTGCCAATTAATACGAATTTCCATTATACTTTCAATTCTAGCATTAATGCAACGAAATATTGTTAAAATGATGTTTCCTTGATTATATAACATTTTTTTTTTTTTTTTTGCTACAAAACAAATACGCATATATTTAATATCAAATAATAATTGAAAATTGAAATCGTATTAAAGATGTAGTTATTATTCCTTAAATAATTAACTTAATTATTCGCTTAATTTGCGATGTTAATTATATCTATAATTTATGCTTGTATTTGACCCAAATATTATAAGTAATTAAAGTAATTGAAAGTTATTTTAATATATGACTGTAATAAATATCGATATATAAATAAATAATCTTTACATATAATATTATAAGCATTGTTAGATTTTGAGTTTAAAATTAAAATTAGATTTGAAATATCTACTACGATTAATTAGGAAATTTTTTTTAGAAAAATATGTAGAAATTAACAAGACATTCGTTATTGCACAAAGAAAACATTATAATTACATTTAATTACTTTTAATTTTTATTTATTCAGAATAACAATTAATATTTGGTATTATAAGTAATTTAAAAAAAAAAAAATTAAAAGATCTAAACGAATCTTATAAATGAAAATAAATTCTACTCAATTTGTAGAGGCTTTAATTGGATTTCCAATACTTCTTAGTATATTGTTATTTTTATTAAAAAGAAAAGCATTTGATTTTTTTAAATAAATAATTTAAAAAAAAAACGGGATCAATTGGGTAATAAATATTTTATAATTTCAATTACGCTTGAAAAATATATTATAATTTTCTCTCGTAACAGTTTTTATTCAAAATATCTTTCGTACACAAGTTTAATCCGAAGGGTGTGACAATCGAATTATTATTATTTAATTATCTTATACTATTATTCATTTCTTTTTCTTCGTTTATTTGATGTATCGAAACTTGATAAATTCAATAGTTTCGATTTTTTAAAACTACCTCACATTAGTCATCAGAAACGAAATGAGTTACCAAAAGGAAAAAAATATGTACATAAGTCGGATTTACAAACGTTACGAGAACACAACTAAAAGTATTTTTTATATAAATCGTTTACCTTTTGCAAACGAATGATAATGATCGAGTTTTTTTTTTTTTTTATTGTCCCTAAAAGAATAAAAATAAATTTTTTTTTCTTCTAATTTATACGATTTGCATTAATAAAACAAATGGTATTTTATTAAATTTTAAAAAGTACATTTTAGTTTCAGAATATGAGAAAGAATAATATCTGCTTTCTACGGATATTTTTAAATTTACACTATAAATTACAACTTCGATGATATAAAATATCATTACAATTAATTTAATTAAAATTTTATTGATCCTTACATCTGATCATTATCTATCGATTACAAAGATTTTGATAAAATTTGTGATTAACATATCTGAACTATTAATATAATACGAAGATCAAGTGTAAATGTAAACATATATCACGACATCTTTAATATACTATAAGTTTGACAAAGTTTACAATGACGTTTGTCGGATGATTAAGTATTATAATTCTCTTTGGCTTACCTGAATCAGTGCTGTCAGGATTTTTATTTGATTAGTTTTAGACATGTAAAAATATATAGATTCTGCAAAATTTAAACTGTCTTCTTAATGATGCATTCATTAACTATAAGGCTTAAAAGTGTTTTAAGTACTCTGAATTTCTTAGACAATCTCTTTAAAATAATAGAATCTTATAAACTACGATTGACAAAAAATAATGGATCACAAATTTGTAAAATTAAAATAAATCCCATGTACAGCAACTCTGGTTTCAATGTTTACCCAAGAGACTTAAATCTTTAAACGATATAAAATATAAAATGAAATAAAATATTTCCTCAACCTTCGATGAATATGATATTTAAACAGGTTTTAAAAAAATAATATTTAATTAAGAATAGCTTAGATTTTATAATTAAAAAAAAAATTAGTTAAAATTATAATTTGATTTCTAATTAATTTCATTTATATTCTTTCATAGATTTTTATTATTATTTGTATTATTATTTGTATTATTATTTGTATTATTATTATTATTATTATTATTATTATTATTATATCACTATCTTTGCATTCTTCTTGAACTAAAGGAAAATTTTTTTCATTTTAATTAATCATGGACATTTTTCACTAAAAAATCAAGTCGTACGCTGTTCCTTTTATTAATAATTTCTTACAATTATGTAGAAATTAATATCTAATTAATCAATACATTGAGAAGCATAAAATTTTGTATTAAGCTACATGTATAAATCAGTTTCAAAAAGAAAAAAATTAATTACAAATCAAAGTTATCTTTTAAGTCTTTTGTGAAATTAATTTTTAATGTAATTTAATTTATGTAAATTAAATTACCTCTATACTTGAAAGTACGATTCACATGATTATAATAATCGAAAGAAAGCGCTCCTTATTTAACGACGTAAATCAGGTTTATAAAAATAAAAAAAAAAAAAGTAAAATTAACTTATAATTAAAAAATATTAATTTACCTCACATAAACCGATTGTCGTTAGTATAAAGAAAGAGCTTTTTTCAAATAATGACGAGAACTCGTTGCACTTAAAAGAGAAGTTCACTTGACAAATATAAAATTTTCACAAACGTTACTTGGTTTCCGATTCTGTCACTGATATATTCTTATTTGATACTTCATCCGAAGATGTATCGTTCTTAGGAGAACTCACTGTGTTCGTATTATTCTCTTCATTCGGCTTAGCTATTTCTGAAGCCAATCAAGCACATTAAAATAATGTCTTAAGAATAATTGTAATATTAAATAAGTTTTAAGATCTCGATTACCTGTCGGATCAACTAGAAGAGAAAAAATTTCTTCCGGTGTCAAATCTTTAGTCTGTTGCTTAAATTGATCCAGCTGTTCTAAAAAGATGTTCCAAAATGTCTGACCTTCAGGAATGTCAAACAACGACTGGAGGTATAAGAAAAATTTTTTATTTTAATTTGTAATTTGATAAATTTTTAAACAATATTATGAAAATCAGCCCTTAAGTTAACAGCTGTTATCAATTTCGCGAAGTATACATTAATATAACATAGCTTATTATAGTTATTAAAATATTAATTGTTAAAATTATTTATATTATGTATACTTCATATGAATTTTATTCGGCCTTGTGGTATACAATTTTATAGGTTAAATAAATCATGAAATACATTTTAATCGTTACTTTAATACCAAAATTTTATTAGATTTAGCATAACCGTTATTTAAAAAATACTCTATACTTTATTTTGAAATACTCTATGAAATTCATATAAAATTAATAATGTTTAAATAAATAAATAATGATTTTAGGATAAACGAGGTTAAAGACGATTTATATTCTTCCTTCGCTATTAAGTTATTGAAACAGTGATATTTAAGAATATTAAGCTAAAGTAGATGAATCGTTAATAACTCATAAGTAAATTAATAAAACCATATAAACATCAGTTAGAATTATAATTAATCTTGGATGAATATTATATCTTAAATTTTAAATTCTTTAACGACAAATAAAAAACTTTGCTACGCAATGAGCGTGCAAATTAGCACATTTCAGTAATTATAAGTTAAAGTAAACTTACTTTAAATTTGTTGTAAATAAGTTCGGCCTTCTTTTTTATTTTATCGGCTTTTTGTTTAAAAGCAATCTAGAATAAAAATTTTTTTAAATTACAATCAAAAAATTTTTTTGAAATATTTTCATCTAATTTTGTGATGAGTAATAAGACACGAACCGTTTCTTCTTCTGACAGTTTCCAATCGGCAAGGTTTCCAACATATCGTCTCAACTAAAAATGAATAATAAATTCTAATAACGTATAGACCATTTTGAAAAACTTTTGATAAAATTGTTGATACTTGCCCTTTTGATGGTTTCAACGATATGCGAGTGTTTCTTAAGCATTAATGGAGTTAGTTGAATTTCTAATACTTGATCCATCGCCTCCAAACATTCATCCGCATTAGCTTGATCAAGCCCAAGACTTGATCTTATTTGTGTGTCCAAAAACATTATGTGTGACTCAATGCGTAATGTCCTATTCAAAATAAAGAGGGAAAAATGAGTTTTAAGCTACATAGGTAAATGTCAAACATCAACATTTAATAAATACGAAACGTAAGCGCATTATATATAAAACAAATTTAACGCAATTAGGAAAATTGTAGCAAATATCATATAATGCGCGTAAAAATTGATTCGTAACGAGTCCTAATCAAACATGTTCATTAATTCCGTTTCGACCAGTCGCACTCGATTACGAAAACGTTCGAAACGAAATACAATTGTATTCCCGTGAATTTGAATAGGTCGACGTGTTTGATGCCACATATCACCGTTTAGCATACTTGCGCATGAATTTTAACCGTAATCTTAAACCCGATACATTCAATATTACTTTACAACTTCACTTCGCGGCGTCCATCGTCGACGCATCCCCAACGAACATTCCAATCGGCCGACCTGGAGATCTACGAGCCCCTTCAAAGAGAAAACAAAAATGTTCTTTAAAGCGATGGAACAAAAATGTGCCTCACCTCAACCTCTGCTGATTCTCGACCTCGGCCTCGTCTTTCGCTGGGGCTTTCCTGTCGTCTTCTGGAACATGTACATTGAAGTCTAAAGAATCTTTGATTAGATCGGTGGCTATATCGCCGCTCTCGAGTTGCTCTTTCAATCGCATGGCGTTCCGGGCGACGGACAGGTCCCAGCGGGCCCTGGCCGCCTCGCTCTCAAATCTATTCGGCCTATCAACATCTAGCTTAATGCCTACGGGGACGCCGGCACACGTCCGCGCGAGCAGCAAGCGACCGGCGTAGCCGGGGCTCGCCCTCGCCTCTACGATACCCTCACTGCCTAATAGGCCCTCATCCGTGCCGATCTTGCCTGCAAAGCAAGAATTGTCATCGATCAGCACTGGAGCCGACGGCCCCGGGCCACCGGGTCACTCACTAGCCCCCTATTAAGTGTACAAATTAAACGACCGCTCCGTAGCTCCTTATTATACCGCCACGTGACTAATGCGCGTGTTAAGCAGTTGCCATTCAAGCCACCCCCAAGATATTCACCTATAAATCTGTATGTAATGGATAATGGGGCAGATCGAGCTTCTTCGATTCGTCCGTGATACTGCCGAGGTCGGAATGGCAAATTGACGCCGACGACGGCGATGAGCCCCAAGCCCTAATACTCCTTACTCGCCTCATTCTCCACTTACCTTTTCCCCTTAGGCTATTGCGCATTTTCGGTTACGATTGTTAGTTAGTCGATATTATGGAGCTGGTCCAAAGTCTTGTTAACATCTTCCTTAAGAGGCTCTTCAAAGCTAACAAACCTCACTCGCAATGCCTCCGTTAAAATATAGAAACACTTTGTGCTCGTACGGTTGATAGATTGTAGCTTGAGGCAATAACTACAAGTACCACCCTCGCAACCTACCAAAATATGTCGATTCGTAACATACTCATTAAACTTATAAAACCTTATTCAATTTATACAGTAGACGACATTTATAATCCAAGTCAGCGACTCTCGTGATACGTCTTTTAACGCTTAATCATCAACGCACTTTAATGCTCACATTGTTTCATTGGAGAACAAGAAAAAGAAAAAGTTACGTGTTTAATGCTCAAACACTTATTTTGTAAATTTTAGCTCGAACATTTTTTCTACGAGAATTATCAATCTCACCACTTTCGCTCATATAATTTCCTACAATAATGTCGTTACTTTTCAATCGGTTCAACAATAAAAAAAACTGCTTTAAAATGACAATTAAATCAACTTCGGTATCATTAGTTAATTTGTACACTTAATCTTATTTTTTAATTGAGTTTTCGTTTAAGCGACATTTTTAATATCACTCGTAATAATAATCATAATCTCGAATGAAAGGTGAAACACGTGACATTTAACTTTTATGTTGTTTAATATAACGTTACAAATTTCCTCTATTAATTTATGCATAAATAATTCCTTTATAGTAATAATAACAAGAAAAACATCTTCTTCTCGAGAATCGAGCTTTTCGGTTGAATTGTAATTCTCATAATGTAATACTCATTAAAAATTCCTTATTTATAGAAATCTATAATCAATGTTTTAAATGTATTTTTTATCAAGCATCAACTGTTCATATATTATATGAAAATAAAGAATTCGATTATATAAGCAGTATTTAGTTTATAAAGAGTTTGTAATCATCAATAAATATATTCAAATTAGAAGGAAGATTTGTAATTTAATGATGCTGTAATATTTCGATCGATATTTTATTTGCAACTTATATATAAATTTATCAACAATTTCAGTTACTTACATTTATTAATAGAAATAGAAGTTGAATTTGTATTAAAAAATCATTATTTACATAAGATTACAGTTATTTCACATATGAAATGTATTATATTATTAAATTTATAAAAAATTCAATATATATATATATATATATATATATATATATTAATCAAAAATACTTTAAACAAAGTATTAAAATTTTGAAAACTAAAACATCAATTTGTTCTAATTCATTTCACCCATTTTTTGTCTTTTCATATAGAACTGATAAAATATTAATAGTTTTGAAAGACATTTCTAGAAGATTTAAATATATTTTTTCATTAAATATATCTTTTCATATATGCAACAAATTAAAAAAAAAAAAAAAAATTTAATTGGAATAGTATCCAATGCTTTTTGTTTAAACTAGATTTGTTTAAATTGTACATTTTATTTAATAATAATTGCAATACGCATTTTATTAAATATCGTTAGTAATAGTATATTAAATATTTTTCGTATACTACAAATTTTAGGAGATGCATTTTTTTTATATTTAAATTTGAAAGCTTTGATTATGAGTACTATAAATTGAATTAATTTATACTTACAATATAGAATATAGGCTTAAAATATAGAATTTCAGGATATATTTTTTCTCTGTTGAAACGCTGTTTTGTATATTACATTATCAGAAGTTCTTTTCTTCAGTCGGTTATTTTTTTATATAGTATTTAATTAACAATTAATATAATTTTTTCATAAATAACTGACTATTGGAAGTGGATAGAGATTATTATAAAGTTATTATAAATTATTAATGATTAATGTAAATGGAGAATTTACTTTTTATTTTTTTACCAAATATTTACTTGTTACTTTTTAATAGAATTTTTTAAATATTTGAAATGGAAATTGGCGTTTTTCAAAAATTAATAAATTACTTAAATTTATTCAAATTTATACAAACTTAATTTAAAATCTGACTTCTTAAAAAAAATAATAAAAAAAAATCAGTTGAATAATTTAGTTAGATTATACAAGCATTATTATGGGTTAGTTGTGTATTATTACTATTTCTGTAATGCTATATATATATATATATATATATGTGTGTGTGTATGTGTATGTATGTGTGTGCGCGCGCGTGTGTGTGTTTATAAGTATAACCTTTCATTCTAATAAAAAATAATTACATTTTATTGGTTAGTTTCAGAGAATTTTAATCATTACATCCATATAATATTGAAAAGTGAAAAAATAATATTTTCAGATAAACAAATTATAGGTATACATATTGAAAAATATTTAAAATCATAAATTTTTCAATTTTCATATTTTAAATGGATTAAAATTAAAATTGTATTTCATTTTAATATAAAATTAGGTAACTTACTTTCGATACTCATTCTTTTTTTAATACGTGTAATTAAGGTTTCCTGATTTTCATTGGATTCTTCAGACTTAATTTTCGTCCTGCTCCGTATTGAATGATCTGTAATCAATAGTTTTTAATAAATTTCAATTAAATATTATAAAATATTACATCATTTTTAAATTCACAAAAAGTATTCTTCAATAAAATTTTCTAATACATATGTTTTAATATTTATTAAATAAATTTTCCGAGGTATTGTAAAAAGTTCTGGGTGCAATGTATTATAAAATGTTACTTGTTCTTAAATATAAATAAATGACGTATTTAAATCTTGATTAATTATCTATAAAGAAACAAATCTGTATAAAATTTAAAAATTTTGCATTAATTTTAAATAAAATTGATTTATAGTAAGATTCTAATATTTATTGAAGTTAATATTGTAAGTCAACTATCAGTATGTCGAGACGTTTGCAATTGAATTAAAACGTAGTTGTTCTAAAAGCACTAATCTTTGTTCTGTCGTTAATTCTCAGATTTCATCGTTTTCTTTCTTCATCGAATAATGTAACATCATAGGACTACTTTTAATGCAGCTCGTACCTTTAAACATCAATATTTTAAATAATAAGAAGAATATTAAATAACATTTATTAAAAAGTTCTATCAATTGAATAAATAATGTAAAACTTACGATAAAATAATTATATTTTCAAAATGCTTTCGCACATTTATCAAATTTTTAACAATAAATTGAAAGTTAAAAATTGAATACAAGTTTATACATTTTAATAAGCACCTACCATTTCTTGATGTATCTATTGAAATTTCTGTATCAGAAAAGTCGTGAAATCTTTTGGGTTTAATTTTTCGGCCACTGCGACTAACAATTTTTTTTTCTGGATCTTCATCTTGCGAGTCATGAGAAATATCTTGTTTTGGTGTATTTTCTGCTAAAACCGATGCCATACTTTTGCGTCCTCGTTTTTTCTTTGCTTCAGACATGTCCTTTATAGAAATATAAGTATTTTTTTAATATGAAATTCTTTAATATTCAAACAATTTAATGCAAACAATTATACATAAATGTAAGGAGTAATCGCACATGTCAATTAGACTTAATAATGACCTGTCAGCAGCTCCTACATTTATATTGGGATATTGTTTACAATTTATTTTATTACCAAGATGTAATAATTTTGTTAACAATCCCATATTAAATTATAATAATATTTGAACTTACAGGTGTACTTTGTATGATTTGCTGTGATTTTCTTTTTACAGTTTTTTTTTTATCACTTTCATCGATTACTAGATTTCCAGTTTCAGCGTCACCATCTTGATTTCCCGAAGCTGAAGTAATGCTATCACTTTCTTTTCCAGAATTATCTTCAGTCACATTTACAGGTACATTTTCAGCAGCTTCCGAATCTATATTAACAATAGTTAAAATTTTAAAAGTAATATTTCTATTTATATATTTAAAAAAAACTGCCATACCTCTTGCAGTATCACCATAGACAGGGTTAGGATTTTTTTTCAAATCTTCTTCAAGTTCTTGTATTCCATCATGGAAATTTTTTCGTCTAACTGTTTTACTGAATTTATCTTTATTATCTGCATATTGAAAAAGATCTTCAATTTTGCAAGTCCCACTGAAATTATATTAATTTTTTTATAGTAAGAAATAATTATAATTTAGAAAATATAATTTATCGTTATATTAAATTCCCTATTGCTCAAATTATATTTATCATTTTAAATATATTAATAAAATGCTTTTCTATTCATTCAATTTTTTTATATTCTACTAAAATTTAACATTATTATATGCGGTATTAATATACATATATCATACGATACATGAATAAACTTTTTGTGATTATGTATCTTTATAGAACAAACTAAAGGTAAATTCATAAAAATCATGTTTTTCGTATTCATCATTATAAAATTATTATTAATATAATTAATATTTTTACAAAAAGTTCATTTTATATATGTGCGTGTGTGTGCGTGTGCGTGTGTGTGTGTGTGTGTACGATGTGTGTATATATATATCTTATAGAGCGTATTGTATTTTTTAATATTTAAACTATCTTTAGTCGTACAATAAAAGTTTCATATTGATTAATAAATTTAGCAATATTCAAATTATAAATTAATATTATAATTATGGATGTGAACATGTATATTATTAAATACATTTGCAGCGGTATACAAGCTTGTATAGGCAAATTTTTATATAAATATACATATGCGCAATCCAATGGAATTGTATTAATTCAGCAATTATTGGATATCTTATACTTTAGATCATATAAAAGAACTATACAAATTCAAGATAAGCTTACATTTCTTTAGTTCCATAGAACACAACATGATATTTTGCATGTTTTGTATTTGGATCAGTGATATTCTCTATCTGAAAATAAAAATAAAAATAAAAATTTACGAAATCAAACGAAACATGTATGATTTTTCTCAAATAAATGTTTTTCAATATGATGCTTTTCTATAAACTAACAAGGCGTTCTATACTGGCAGGATCTAATCAAGAAGCCAAGATGAAAGGTGCATCCTTTCAATTTCATCCAAAATAGTACATTATTTAGATATTCACATTATTAAAATAATTTTATTCTCAATAATAAACAATATTTGAAAAAACAAGAAATGAAAATAAAGGTCTAAAGAATAAAAGTTGAATTTACCTTAGCTGGCCAAGGCGGATAACCTCGAACTTTGGCGAAGATTCGCTCCCCGACGCTAAATCTCTTCGGGAGCTTCACCATCTTTTACCGTCGTTATTACGAAAATCTTGCGAACTTCTTCCGATGATTTTCGTATTCCACTCGAACACAAGTTTGATTAGTTTATGGTTTTGTTTTTACTCTTCCTACTTTTGCTGCATATACACGATATTTTACTTTGGCGTGCTTTTTCCGTGTGTTCGTGCGAGTACGATCAATGGACGAACAACATTACGAAAGTATCAGCGACCATTTGCGTCTAGACAAAACCATGAAGGAAAGAAATGGGCTTTCTAAAAGCGTGTCACTGTCCTGTGATGATCAGCTTTCCCATACACGTTACGCACCGGCGCATATATATATATATATATATGATTCTTTAATGAATATTGATCTATATACATATATATGCATATATGCATATACGCATGTGTGCATGCGCGTATCTACATGCGCATGTGTGTACACATAATATGCACATCCAATATCAATATGAAAAGAAAATGTATGCTGAGTGTAGGAAGCCAACTGTAGATGGCCAATTTAATCGAAAATTTTCGAGCCGCTGTTGTATCGTTCTCAAATATACATTAACAATTCATTTATTGCAATTATAAATTCTTAAAATGAATTTGCAATCTACAATAGTCACCCCACCACCATCCTTAGTGGGGATGGACCACGTACGAGGATTTACAAATATTTACGTAGACCATTAAATGTACACGGTCTAAGCGAAATCTAAGATTGCCTCTCATGTTTACCATACCAAGGCCATTAACCATAGTCAAGGTAGATATAAAGTAACTATTGCGATTGCTTGTTAATTAATTACTAAGCAACATCCTTCGTTCATCCATTTGATTGTATATATATATATATATATATATTTTTTTTTTTTTTTTTTTTTTTTTTTTAATCCTTTTTATGCGTAAACGAAAACTGCGTCGCAATATATCGAAAGAAATAGTTTTGATTTTTATATTAATAGCGGTAAGGAGCGAACAATTTAACTTGGCCAATAATGCATTGTCTTGGTCTCTGTAAAATACGGATTGTCGAACGGTCAATGTCGGCTAAATGACGCGCACACCCTACCTATTTCCAATTCCCACGTTGAACAACGTTGAATTTTACAAACTATAATGCCAAAGATAATATTTAAATGCCATTGTGATACATGTTCTTTCATTCACAAATGCTCAAAGATAAATACGTGACATGTGAATTATGTGATGAAAATTTCGAAGAGTTGACAGTCAATTAGTGACTAGACGATGCAAGTGTTCCTACATTGAAATTTGATTGGTCGATTTTATTGTTTTTCTTTTACAATCTCTTCATGTCTCTTTAAACTACGAACTTATTTTACATTTTCATTGCATAAACATAGAGCTAATAAATGTTGTATATAATTTTGTTTATGATCGAAGTATGTTTTGTTCTACCGAGTGATTAATTTAATTACTTTCTAATTAATATTTTTCAAATTCTTACTAACAGTTTTTTTAATTCTTAGGCAACTGACAAATGTAAGTAGTATTTTTTAAATTGGCTATATATATTATTTTTTATATTTCATATGTCATTTTAGAAGGTAAGAGATTTATTATATAAATTAGAATTATACAAAAGCATAATAGAGCGTGATTATAATAATGTTATGTGTATTAAACAAAAAAACAGAGATTCATAAATTGTTTAATGTTATCGTTATCAATTTAGTGATAAAGCTTTGTTACATCAGCAGTTTAACTAGTCGATTGTTATAACAAACATAACCTTCAAACTTTTAATTAAAGCAACTGATATTTAATATTTATAGAATCTTAGTTCTTAAAAGGGTAATTTTGTTCGATAACTCTTTTTATAATTAAAATCATTGAAAAAAAAAAATTTTATAGCAAATATTTAATAATTTATACACTGAACATGTACAAAATTTGGTAACAGTACATTTTTATTAATGCATATGAAAAAATAATATTTCGTTTTAATCAAGTTATTATCACTAATTCTTATATGATTTTTGTAATATTCTATCTTCAAATACTCGCGATCGACTTATTATTAATTATATATTTTTTTGTAAAATTTTATAATGAAATGTTTTTAACATCCTTAGGTTATAATAATTCTTTTATTTTGATTATAAAATTTTTAGAAGCAAATTGAAATGTCACCTCCAATGGAAAGAATTCAAATTTTAGAAGCAATAGAAAAGGATATAATTACTTGCCTGCAAAGCGCGGGCCAAGCTTTTATGGAACTTAGTAAAGACAAATCTAATTCAAAACAAGCGGAAGGTCAAACGCATCAATTTATTAAAACTTTAGGACTCGTTGAATCCAAATTGAGCGAACAAATTAATTATTTAACGCAAGTATCAACAGGTATTGATTAATTTTTATTCAGTATCATAACTTGTTTACAAATCTAAAATTGACAATTTTTTTTTATTATATTACGTTTAAACGAAAAATCTATTAAATAATATTATGAAACTCAATTTCATTATTTGTAATAAAGCTTTTGTCTAATTTTATGTTCTACCTACTTTATTAAATCGTGTTATAATTTGTAAAATTTATCGTAAAAGTAATGAAATTGTAGTTGAAAGTATAATTAGTGATTTTTTATAATGGGATATAATTGTTGGAATAAATTTGTTTATACGATCTAAGTAATGCACGACATTAATTATTACATGAATTTGTAATGAAAAATGTATTATAATCACTGTTCTATAACTTATAATATATAATTTATAAAATATTTATATTTAATGTCATCTTCTTTGAGATATTGTATTTATATTCTATAAATAAAATAATGAATTCAGTCTTTTTTCATAATTGTAATAATAAAAAAGATATTATTGTTAAAATTCACTGAAAATTATACATCAATAAATATTTTTCAATTTAATTGAATCTTTCTGTTTTGTTTTAATAATAACATTTAATTCACTGAAAATACTGCTATTACTTTCTTTAACTTTATGTAATTTACTATTTTTATATTTTTTTGAACTAACAATTAAGTACTATTTGCAACTACTTGCAGTAAATACATGTAATAAATGAATTTTTTAATCTAATTATGAAATTTGATAAAATTCAGTAGATGAATGTACTCTAAATTTTTAAAATTCAAATACCTTATCCTGCTATTTGCAATTGCGCTCAATAAAAGATAATAATTTTTTAGGTCAACCTCATGAAGGTTCTGGTTACGAAAGTCAAAAGGTACTGCAAATGGCTTGGCACAGACTACAGCATGTACGCAGTAGAGTAGACGAGCTGGAACGCATAAAAAATAAACATTTGCATTCACGCAATCTTGCGAATTTAGGACGTTCGCAGCAATCCCAACAGCAACAGCAGCAGCAACAACAACAGCAAATGGCCTCAAATAATATTTCTGTACAACAACCTCAAACTAACTCCTCTGCCTCATAATTTGTGCTTGTAAGATAATAATTTTGGAATTCAGACTGAACCATATCATTAGCACAATCACTTATTAACTTAATTTATTTTTCTTTTTTTCTTCTATTTTGTTATATAAAATTTTGAAGGTGTAAAAGACTTCTTATAAGTCTTTAGATTACTTACAGGTTAGTAGAAATACTTACAAACGCATATTGTAACTTTTTGAATTATCATTTTAATTTTATCAAATACTGTTAACTTCGTTATTCTCTATTTGAATGGAAGATATGGACGTTTTTATTCAAATTTTAACTCTTTTTTTTTGTTTTTTTTTTTTTATATAATCATCAGTTTTAAAGATATTAAGTAATAAAATGATTATTCAATACAACTACTCTCTATTATTCAATATTTCTTTTGCTTATAAAAAAACAAAATAAAAGCACGAATGTGTAACTTGTAACAAGGAAACAATCGACTATTTTTCTTCTTTCTTTTCTTTTAAAGCGCAGACATAAGGCATTTATGTAAAATTTTCTCTCAACGATGTATAACAAAATTATATTGTTTATAATAATATTGGAATAAATTGAATGCATTATTGTACTTAATGAATGCATGACGTATTCTCTCCTAGATGGAGAAAAAAAATTGTTAAAAGAAATTTTTATAAGTATCTCTCTTGTTATTATAAAGGCAAATGACTAGGGCACGACGCTGTCCATAATAGCCATGCTACGTTTGACAGTTGCAGCTAACGACAGACGAGATTTTCGTTCATCCTCCAACTGTTTGCATAATTGCATCACTTGTAACTGAAGATCTGACATTTGGCTCTTCAAGGCTTTAACAGTTTCCGACAGACTCCTGCTAACATAAACAGAAATAAGAGTCTTATCACTAGGAGTTAAAATTAAGCAATCTTCTTTAGAGTAGAAGCATATTACAAACAAGAGAGAAAAAATTATTAAACAATGCTATTGAAAAAATGTATGTTCATAAAGAGAATACATTATATTTCTATTCTTTGTAAGCAAATTTATACTATATATATATGTTCAAATTTTTTCATTATAATAATTGATTGGTCGAATAAATGTCAAAAATGTGATTAGACATTTGAGAATAGTGTTTATGTAATTTCGAATACTATTTCACATTATCACTCTCTCTCTCTCTCTCTCTCTCTCTCTCTCTCTCTCTATATATATATATATATATATATATATATATATATATATATATATATATATATATTAGATGCACAAATAAGAAATCATAGTTTATGAAAATTATGTGAGCTGTAAGATATTACATTAATTCGAATATGTACAATTTAGCGAATGCTTCTTAAAGAAGCAACAATTTTTTCAATAGTAAGATTTCATTTTTTTCTCTGTAAGGGTATTAGAGAATATTTTGAATAAAATATTTTTATGTGGTTAAATATTTTTTTAATGTATTATAAAAAATGTATGATAATTTATAAGAAAACAATTTCCTATGACTTTATAGCATACGTATAATTATGTAATATTTAATAAAATTTATTAAATTAATCATATTTATTAAAGAAAGTATTTTGTTAAATTATTTTTTTGTGTTAGTTAAAATGTTGATTTATACCTTTAATTATTTAAGTTATGTGTACTCCCATTGACAATGTTTGTCGATTTGTTATCATTATTATATATTATTTCATTTAAATAAGCTGAAAATTACATAGAATTTACCTTTTTCTTTGCATGCTTTTTAACGATATCGATAAATAAAAATATATTAAATAAATATGACTATGTCATATTCAACAATATGTTCTATTAAAAAACATTTACAAGCAAAATTAATAATGAAAGTACTATGAAAATAAAACTATCGATTGATTACAAATTCAATATGCAAACAATACAAACACAATTTTTTCAGACTCAAGTTCAACATTCCACACTTGCAAATAAATTATTAAAATTCGAGTCTGGGTTTAAGACTTACCTGTCATCGTATGTATCCCAATTTCCGATTCTACTATGCATAAACGATTCTCTATCGTTTACCTTATGAAGGAGGTCGAAATCCAACATAGCTGAAATTTTACATCATCATTATGATTATTGTAATTTATGCGAGTTATGTTGACACACAACAGATGTTTTGCGATGGGAATGTTTTTCATAGTTTTGCTTGTGTTCCTTTTTTGTTGCTTTGCTTTTCTTTTTCGCATAAATTTGTTGAACGCTGAAAAGGATTTGCCTCCCAGCTAACTATCAAATAAAATATGTACTATACTACCAAAAACACCACATCAAATTAGTGTCGATAAATCAAGCAAGTAAGTGTTGATTTTGTTACGACGAATAAAGCAAACACACGCGCCGCGCGCGCGCACACACACACACGTACATACGCCTTAATTCAGTGAAACCGTGGATTACAAGTTAGAATGCCAAGCTTCGTGATTATATTCTTCACTGCACTTAATACATAATAATTATTGAGTTAAATTTCACTGAACTATTAGTAGCTTCGTGTTAATATAAATAAAGCAACGAAAATAAATTGGTTTACTCAAACTCTAAGCAAAAGTCTAATGTATAATAATCGCGCAGCTTACCAGAATTTACTGTGAACCTTGCATTTGCCGATAAACAGTAGCCTTCGATCACTCTCAAAATGATTGCATCCTCTTCAAATTGTCGTTCATCTGACAAATTAATAAAAATATATTACTTCAAGGTCAATTTAATGTCTATTTAAACCCTAATGTCAATGAGCTATTGTTTTACTTTTTAGGTTTCTATTTTATTCTACCAATGCTAAAATATTAAGTCTTTTCAAGGATTTGAAATAGAGAAATTATCGTTTCATGTATCGAGTATACGGTTAGTTAAAGATAAAAAATTGTCCATCCTGATAAATATAAGTGAAAACAATCGCGCAGGACTGAAATATCTTAACCAGTATTGCATGGTAAATTCTAAGAAACTCGATTGTCAATTTTAGCATTGCTTAAATTTCAAGCAATTTTCATTTATAATTTAATCGTACGTAGGAATTATTTTGCAACTTAAATTATGGTCTAAGAAATAAACTATTAAACTTATGATAAATCACATACTAGCATCACGTACTAATTTGTTTTCATAGAATTGAAAAAGTTCAAGACGAGGCTCATAATTTATTCGATTTTTTAATATTACCATTTAAATTAATACCAGAACCTTCAATACGACTAGTATAATAATATTTTGAGTTCAACTAATTACAATGACGACAGATTTCGTCATTCGAATAATATTTCAATACCATGAAAATATTTTAAACAATTTAAAAAAAGAAATAGTGTTTATAAATAAATTTAATACGATGTTTTCTCTATCTCTCTCTCTCTCTCTCTCTCTCTCTCTCTCTCTCTCAAATTTGAGTTAAATTAATTGTTGAAATTTTGTTTAAAGTCTGTTATAGAAATGAAAACAATTTTTTTTTTTAATATTTACGTAACTATACTTGGCTTTATAATAATGTCATGAAATAGTTTTCTATTTCAGAAAGAAAGAAAGAAAGAAAAAAAACTATACAAACTTTCTAATATGTTTAATAATATTTTCATTAATTAATTTATTTATACTTCTTTAAGAAATATAATTTCAATTATATAGCGTTAAAATTATCTAATTCATAGTCTAAATTTATATTATTTCAATTATTATAATGTAAATGAATTGCAATGTATTATTGAATTATCAATATTTAAAATCAGTACAATTAATAATGTATCGCAAATTTTTAGTTTTAATTATTAGTTATTATAAGCAATGATTTAAGGTCCTGTGTCTTATATTGGTCAACGAGTCGTGCCAAATTCTTTGTAAGAGTATTTAAAGTCTTATTTCTAATCTTCAAACGAATCATCAGAAATAGTTTTTAGCGCATAGCAAAATTGTATATCATTTTCATATATAATTTTTAAATTAAAATAATATTTCCATTACAAAAAGAACAGTAATATCATACATTTTTATGGACATTTTTTTTTCCAAGCTATTGTCAACAATTTTGACAAATACTCTTACAAATAATAGTACTGTTGTAAAATTGTTTAAAGTGATGCCACAAATTGTTTTCTTACATTTAAATTTTGTATCATATAAATAAACATTAATATTAATGGATCAATTGAGTTCTATTATTGATAATGAATTATCACGAAGTCATTTATGCCAACGTAACTTAAATTTATTAACTGCCACATTTATTATCTACATACATTTCATTCAATTCAAACTAGACGCTGCAAAATAATCTTTCAAATATTCTTTTTAATTGATTTGCCAATTAAAATAAGCAGAGAGACGACAAATAACGTTTATTTAATTTATCTTAATGATAAATTATTACTATATTAAAAGGCCATTCATTTTGTAAATGTAAAAAGCATTTCTGAAGTATATTTTTCTTTTGAATTTAATAGTCAGATTCGATTGTTATTAACTAACTATTGACTATTTTGGTATATAAGTAATAAATAACATTATTGAATCAAATATAAATGTGTACAATTCTTACGAATATTAATTTACTAATTTTATACAATATAACGTATACTTATTATTTACATCAATCTCATAGCAATTAATAATAATAATAATAATAATAACAATAGACTATCCGGCGCCATATGAAATATTATAATATAAATAAATACACGGTACTACTATAGCCATACATTAAAAATGATTTAATACGTTAAAAGTATACTTAGTATGCAATTCCGAGGACTCTTGATACTAAAATATGAATTTTAAAATAAAACATACCGATGGACATTAAATATCAAATTTAAAAGGGATCTCTTGATTTGGTAAAGGGACATTGGTACGCATATGCGCGAGCAAAGCCTACATTAATGTATGAAAATATAAAAGCTACGTAAAAATACGAAGCTATTGTCGGCGTTCTAATCTACTTGGCATATTACAATCTGAGAAGTCATAGACAGATTTTTGCTTCGATTAGACATCAGTGGCAAACGGCATAGAGATTCGAGCTGTGATAAAGCAAGTGTGTTGGTGCTTGGTACTTACTGCACGTTTTCATCGAGCGACAAGCGTCCACGGTGTCCAGCTTCCGAAAAGTCTTGAGGGCATAAATCGGTGGCGCCGGTCTCAGCGAGGCGAGGCTCCAGGGTGCCTTAATCCCAGGGGTTGGCGACTGATCCGCCCCTGCTGCTTGAAGCTTCAAGCTCTGGCTGCTCGACTGCACGAAAGACGGAGAACAACGTTAAAAGTCCATTGGGCCCTCGATCAGCCAGCATCGTGATTTTTTACAATGTCGATCGATCCGCGCGAATAAACGAGCATCGCTAATGTCTCGCAATCGCAAAGGAAAAGTAAAACGTTTTTGCGGAACAGAGTATAAATCTTAGGCAGAGGGATGTCAGTTAATATTATGCTTAAGTAGCAGTTGAGTTGCACTTTAAACATAAATGAACGTGTAAATGACAACATAACATTAAAATGGTCGTCCCGATTGTCGATCACTACAATTCAAGACTCAACTTACTAGTGGGAGATGTAATATTCACGTTAACTGCGTAATCGTATTAACGATATTACGTGGATTGTTATTATAAGTTTTCTTCTATTTATCATTGTTAGTAAAATTAGTGACTTTTGCATATTACATCACACATTATGTACAGTTTTATGTGAATCATGTATAATTACATAAAGTTAACAGTTCGAGCGTTACATAATGAATGCATGCGACGTTATTTAAGTAAAATGTAGAATGAAATGATTGCGATAAACAATATATGCATTCCAACTAAAGAAAACTAATGTCAGAAATAATACATAAATCACAATGTAGCACTCAAAATGTTATTTACATATATTAAATATAGACCTGCGCGTACGTTTGGGGAAAAAAGCTTATTGCAATATCAGCAAATCAGAAGTATGCTTTATCCGTCAAGTTACTTATGCATGTTTCACATTTACAGCGATTCTTAATTTGCTCAATTAATTTAATTAGTCTCCACTGCTGATATATGAGACAAAAACAGTCGAAATGGGGACAAGCACTTTGACTCTTTGTTTTTTTCTGTTTTTATTCATTTCTTTTTTTTTTCTTTTTTTCTTCTTTTTTTTCTTTTTTTTTCCAATGTGATGACCATGCCTTTATGCCTTTATGCCTTTATTTTAATTGTAACAAGCTACTTCAGCAAAACTTTTAAGCTTTCTTTTTTGCGCTGAGAAATGAAATATAATTAAATAAATATAATTAAATACGTAGAATAGGCATTGATAGAGAGAATCGTGACTTTGGGCGATTAATTCTGAGAAGTGGCGATTCATGTCTTTCATTAGTAACTGTGTAATTGTCGCTAATTATCATTTTAAATTCTTCCTACGAATACTTGCTATGAATTCAAGCAAATAATTAAACTTCTCATATGCATCTTCTATGAGCCGAATATCTAATAACAAATGATTTATTAATTGAAATCTTCATCTTTCCTCTATTTTATTTTAGTTAGTAGAAAGAAAAAAACGTAAAGACAAAGCGAAAGCGTACTTCTCACAACATGGCTGTGTGAAATAGAAAAAAAAAAAATTGTAAAGCGGCATCAAACTTGGTTTTGGTGGTGATGGTGATTTCGATAATAAAAATTAGTAGCAGCTCAATAAACGAAAAAGAATTAAATAAATTATTTACCCTGATTTACCTTTAATTTTTAAGTTATCATTATCATTATTATTATCATTATTATTATTATTATTATTATCATTATTATTACTGTTATTATTCATGTTATTATTTTATTTAATTACATATAATTTTTCAATAAATTTGAAAGTATTTTTTATTTTCTTTTTATCGGTATATCGTAGATGATCAAGAATGTTGAAAAAAAAGTCGTAATGATAAATAGTTCCATTCACATCCATTTACATTATTATTATCAATAATTAAAAATAATTATCAAGAAATCAACAAAACATTCGCGACTTTATACAGCACGTTAATTCTTCTTCGTTTATGGCACCAAACTCAAATCATCTACCTCTGTCGGCGTGGTGGTTATCAAACAGAAAAGAAAATTCTTCTTAAAAAATTAAATAAACGAGAACAAAAAAAAAAAAAAAAAAAAAAAAAAAAAAAAAAAATAGAAACAAGTAGATACGAGTAAAAGTGAAACTATGAATAAAACTGAGGAGACGTCTGAACGGACGCTCTAACCGAAAAGGTAAGAAGAAAAAAGAAAGTAAAATAATGAAGGACCGAGATGAAATGTGAGTGTGTAATCCAACGAGTTATCGAACGATTAAACGCAGCCATGCCATGGAAGAGCTTGCCTTGGTCATTCATCGGGATCATTTTCTTGAGCCACCAGTGCGCGTAGAGGCCCGACTTGAAGATCCGCGGTGCGTCGGTCGGGTCGGGCCCCTTGTGCCCTCGGCGCGTTCGTCTCGAGCGGTCCTCTTTGACGCGCACCGTCGCCGTCGGCGGCTGACTCGCGTGCTTCCGCTCCACGAGCCTCAGCCTCGTTAGCCTCGCCGCCTCCACCTCTGCCTCCATCTTGGTCTCCTCGGTTGCTCTCTTATCCTTATCCCGGTCCCGGTCCCCGTCCCCGTCCCCGTCCCCGTCCTCGTTCTCATCATCATCCTCGTCCACGTCCTTGTCCTCGTCCACGTCCTCGTCCCCATCCAAATCTACATCCCTGCCTACATTCCCATTTCCATCGTCCTCGTCGTCAGCGTCACTGCTATCGGCGCACAGTCTGTAGCCGCTGCGCAACAATTCCTCGGGGCTGCTCTGCCTCGGTGTTGAGCCAAAGGGCGACATGCAGATGCACTGGTTCTCGTACTGGTCGTCGTTATCGCTCTCGCTCCGGCAGAGTCGCGTATAACAAGAGCCTAGCTCCGTCGAGTGGTACTGGAAGCTGTCGGCCATCCCCGAGTCCGAGGACCGGGGACTGGCGACCGTGATGGGTTCGAGCCTTGGTCGCGCCCGGGGCCCGATCGAGCGCCACGTCTTAGCGTCCTCGTGGTCGACGAGCCCGGGGCGGGACCGGGGCCGCGAGGCCCGAACTACGGCCGACAGGCTCCGACTAGGACTCGGACTGGGGCTAGCCTCGGCACGGTTGAGCGCGCCCGCGGAGGCGGTGCCGTAGCCGAGGCTGCCTGCCTCGTCGAGGACGAAACGCACGTCGAGCTTGAGGGTCGAGGACATACGGGGTGGCGCGGGGGGTCGCGCAGGGCTGACCCTCGGCTGCGGGGTGTAGGGGACGAGGCAGCGGCGGCGCATGCGCACGAGGGAGAGGTCGGGTCGGCATATGTACTGGAAGTAGAGAAGCCGCTTGAGCAGCTCCGGGTAGATCAGCCGTTTGCGTACGAGTCGACGGAAGAGGCGCGAGAGCCGCGCGTAAGGAGGATGGATGCGACAACTCACGTGGGATACGTTCGTGGGCGAGCGGCCGAGGTTGGAGCCACGAGTACTCGTCGCCGACTGCTCGTGGAGGCTGAGGAGTTCGATCCAATGCTGGCGCTCCTCCCGACTCGGGCACAGCACCGTTATGTTCTCGATCATCGGTCCTGTGCAAAGGATAAGCCTATTAATCTGTTTGTGAGCGAGGTCTTGTCCAGGCTCATTGCAGAATGCGAATTCTCACCAGGATATACCAACGGCCTTCTCCAATGTTTATAAAAAAATTTAACGCTCACGAAATTACAAACTATAATAATGTCTGAATTCTTGTTAAAAGGCAATTCTTTCCCCGGAGGTGTACTATTTTTTTTTTTTTTTTTTTTTTTTTTTTTTTTTTATCTCTATTCCGATCAATGAAAAATGCTTAGAAAAAAATTCACTATATTACAAAAGATTTTAGATTTTTTTCCTTCTTCCATTTATCCACGATTCGATCAAATGTCAACAACTATTTCAAATTGTTCTTGTGAACTTTATCGGTACATTGTATTTTTACATGATTTGTCTCGCTTAAATTATTAATTGAAACATTAAAAAAATATATTATAATGTAAATATGTTAAATAGTTTTAATTTCTTAAAACTATTATAAATTTATAACAATTTTCGTATGAATTTTTGTTTATTTATGAATGTCATTTTGAATTGTGAGCAGTTGTGAGAGCAATATTTTCTATTAAGTTTTCATCTAATAATTAATGGTCATTGATCGAGGACATTAAATTTTTGTTAAATACACAGTTTATTCAAAGTAAGGCTAAATAATGTTTAATTTTATTTACCTACCAAATATTTCAAAGGCATTCTTATAATCATCACATTGTTCTATTGCTAAGACCGTGATTCCCGTCAATGGAAGTTTCCCCTACATCGTACACAAAATGATTAAATATTTCTAACTTTAGATTTCAAAGAATTTAATTATATGCGCTAATGAAATAATAAATAAGACTGTACCTCGTAAACAAACGAACTCATTCGTGCACTAGTGCTTAGTACGAGTAAGGTTGAGGGAAATAATACAAAATATCTATCTCTCCTATCGACCCCTGAAGCGAGTATTACAGGACCAACGTGAATAATATCACCTAAAACATTTAATTCTTCACCTTCCCAACCTTTAATGCCACTCGTTAGAATTTGTAACGCTAGCTCTCGCTGCTTTCTTACTGCTGCGCAACGATTCTAAACAAAATGCAAACACACCATTTAAAACTATTACGAGTAAAGGGTATTGGGAAAATCTTTTCAAAATCATTGTCTCACTTACGGCAATTTCTCTATATACACTAACACTACGTTGCGTATCACCCCTGTCGGGATGATTTTTCTCCGTGTGCCTTTCTAATTCTTGCAACATCGCCGAATACTTGTCTAGTCTTCTAAAGGGCTTGCTAAGCCCTGTCGTTAATACTAATATTCCAGGAGTTATTGCACCAGTTCGCTCCATAAACTCATTCAATTCATCCCTATTAATATATAAATTAGTTTTAAAAGTATAAAAAATAATATCCGTTTCTATACAGAATTGATCCCATTTATTTACAATAGTTTATCGAATGCTTGAAATTATTGTTTTCGATGTTTTACAAAGTAGGTGATACTATACTTTTAAATCAATACTATGTTTTAAGTTTTAATGTCTCGAGGGAACTTTTGGCAAATATTAATCTGTAATAATTCTCTTAAATTCAATAATATTGTGTCTCGCATGACAATTATTACATGTGTATTATATTCGATAAAAAAGCATCAAGCTGTCAAATTGTAGTAAACCTGTGATTTTTATAAGATTAAGTACCTGTAATGATCTAGAATACAAACTGCTTGAGGATGACAGTTACAGTAGTTCGTATGTATAGACTTTATTTTAGAAGCTAAGGTGAGAAAAATATTTCCTATTCTAGCTTCAGGCCCTTGAGGTAATGCACCATTTAAATTAGCTAATAAACGTTGATGAGTCTCCAAAACCTCGTGTATATTTCCAATTAATTGTTTGTATTCTTCTTTTTTAAGACTGTAAATTTAACATTCAAAATAATATTGTATTTAATTGTAAGAAACTACTAGTGAGATGAGCTAAAAACCATTGTAAATTATTTACATATTGGCTGCTTCTAATGGTTGAAGAAAATTCCCGACTAATCCTTGTAACTCTGCAACATTGGCGTGCTCAGAATCAATTATATCCTTTAGTACAATGTCACGATTTAGTGTTTGGTGAATCGGAGAGTCTGGTGAACTTTTTTCAGGCGATACTTTAGTTGGGGTAGATCCTGATTCTGCAAAATATTATAAACCAAAATTTAGTGTGAAATTTGGTAATCCAGTAATTATATTTGCAAAATATTCATCTTTGTTTTAAAAGCATTAAAAATTAAAATTAAAAATAGTAATTTAAAGTTGTTAAAGAATTAAGAATTTAAGATGAATAAATGAAGGGGTATTAGTCATTTTAATTTTACAATTAAATCACACAGCTAGTTATTGGTAAATTAAAAATTCTCACAATATGGAATACAGCATTTTTATTAGTAAGGTTAGATATAGCATGTACCTGAATCGCTAAAGCTGAAACTTTGTAAAGATGTACCTGGAGTTCTAAATTCTTTAACATAATTGGATGGAAACCAGCCAGTTTTTTCATTAAGTGTTCCTTCCCACCAACCACCATCATCCGTCTGTGTTATCGTTATTAAATCTCCCTTCTTGAAGCATAACTGAGGATAAGTATAGTATGAAAATTATAATAATAATCTTGAAACAATTATTACTAAGTTAATAAATTAGGCATGTGATATTAATAATAATATCATAATATAAGAAAAAATTATAATAGTACATGAATTTTGTAACGAACAAAGATTAAAAATGTGTGTAAGGTGTACGATTATAATACAGATAATTTATGCAATGTACCAGATATCAATGCTAATAGTTAATTGTACAGACGGTATATTCTTTAGATACAAAGTTGTAAATTCAATTATGTTCAATATTATAAAATGCAAGTTTTGTGAACGGCATTAGAGATAAAAATAATACTTGTAAGAAGTGACTCAATTCGTTATAGGGCAAGTTTTATAAAGCTGAAGACCATTATAATAATAACCTATTTGGTTAAAATTCTTATCTAAGTTAGGATATAGATTCCTACTGAAAAATATATAAAAAGTCAATGTTTTTATTCATTTGATAAAATAAATTTAATTTAGTTTATCCACATTGACTTCTCGTCGGATTTAAAAATATCATGATGAGAATGTCTTTTGAGAAAACGCAGCATAGTATGATAAAAATTAGGAGCAAAGGCAAAAGCATCAAGTAGATCAAAAAAAAAAAAAAAAGGATGAAGATAAGAATGTGTGCCAAGTGCACTACAATTTAGAAATACAAGCAAGTAATGTGCATGTATGCATAACATAATACTACCTCATCGTTATTCTTTCCCTTGAAAGAAAACAAGGCTGTGACGAACTTCGGTCCATCAGATTTGGACATCTTCAAAAATATCTAAAAACAGAAGAATTTTATAGTTGTGAAAGAGAGAAACAAAATGTACGAAAGACATTACAGTCAGTGTATGAGCGAATCAAGGCAACGACTGAAAAACCGTCGGTTCAAGCCAAAAGGAGAGAGAGAGAACAGCAAACATATACTATACACTAACGAAACTTCTACGCTCGCACTTTACCTTGAAAATCGCTGAAAGGCCCCAGCCTCGGAGTAATCAAGGCATTTGTGCTTTTTGTGGGAATGGGATTTTTGGGCGTAACGCAAACACAGATGCATCAATGCAGCCGATCCGTTGTAAACAAGCGACGATAAATTATAGGATAAAATCAGCCTCCACCACGTTCCACCTCGACACTGACGCTCAATTCACTGCTCACTAATCCGTTTCGCTCCGTTCGACTGCTGTTGCTAAAACTGGCTAATAATATATATAAAATTATAATGTCGCGTTTTGGCAGAACTGCGGCTATAAATACATATGCGGCGCCTCTCGGAGCTGTCAGAAGAAAACGTCGAAATTTTTCTCGGGTCATCCTACGCAACGGAGCGACTATAATTATCGAAGCTGGGATGGTTTACAATCCCAACACTCATTGGTCGTTTTTCTTTTTTATCTGGCGGCAAAAAATTTTATATACGAAATGCCAGACTGGATGCATTGTCATCAGAGTTTCAACTACTGGGCTTTCGGAAATTGTGACAAATGTTGTTTATCTTACTATCTTAAGATAAAATATTTAAAGATAAAAAAATCTATATATATTTATATATATATATATATATATATATATATATATATATAGAAGATAAGCTAAACGTAATCGTAAAATAAAAATTGTAAGATAAAATAAGTACGTGCGTGAGTAGCTTTTTAATTATGGAATATCGGACGAATAAATGAAAATTTTAAGTACTAATGTTAGTTGTGCATTAATTTCTAAAACGATTATTAGAAGATGATTATTATTTTTGAAAAAATTGTTCATTTATTGTTTAACTGCCTTGATCAGTAAATAAAGCTTAATAATTTTCAAAATTATTACTATTGCTGCGGCATCTAGTGATATTATTTTATTTATTAAAATAGGTTTCAACAACGCGATTGATTATATAAATTATTCGATAAATTATAAATATTAAATAAATTATATGATTGCGAATAAATAAATAAATTTTGAATGGCGGTAATTTAATAAAAATATCTTTAAGAAATGTATTCTTATTTAATATTTATTTTTATAAAATTATATATATTTTAATGCTTTAATGCTTTACACAAGCAATTTATAAGAGGTTCAAAAAAAATTTTTCAAATATTCATATTTACAGATTGTTTTATTATATTATAAGATATTGTTGAGAAAATAACGGCAACATCATTAACAGCAGCATCAGCAGCAACAACAACACTAACACTACCACCATCATCGCCGGCAACAAAAACAACAAAAACAACAAAAACAACAAAAGCAACAACAACAACAACAACAACAACAGAAGCAGCAGCAGCAGCAGCAACAACAAAGATGAAAATATAGGAAAGCCTCGGATATGTACAATAAAGTTCAACGGGCTTTACCCATAAGCAAACTATTGTTCTATTTTATCAATTATTTATTATAGTTCGATAATGAGGTACCTGACTATATACTTCTTCATTCGATTGCATATTCGTGTAAATTGCCTATTATGACTTTAAGTCAGAACACTTTGGCCTATATTTTAACTTAACAACTTATTTTCACAAATAATTCAGCATTAATTCGTTGACTCAATATCGAAGCACTTGGAGGTGTGTGAAAGTTTTCTCTAAGCCGCTACTGGTACACAATGTCATATCGCGAAAGCGTAAAAAGCCGTCGATTGCTTAAATATTCACCGGATGAGCTTCTCGTATCTGCGGCTCGACGGCGCAAACTGCGCTCCTTCTCCGCCAACTAGACGCCAAGTGTCCTGGGGAATATCACGATCCGGAAATGCGCGAGCTCGCGTCGACGGGGAAGAAAATATCCGGCGCCTGCGCTACGCTTCTTCTCCACTATCTTCGCTTCTCGAGAGATACTGGCCGTGAAACCGGGAGTCGCTACAATGATTTCCAGGCTGCTCTTCACCGACGGTGACACGCCGATTTTTACCGAATCTCTACTCCTTATGCGCCCCAGAGGCGAACGCACGAACTTCTTCCAACGCATTTTCTCATACCCTCGTCCCCTCCTTTAACCCCCCCCCCCCCCCCCCCCCCCCCGCACCCCCCCCCCCCACCCCCCCCCCCCCCCCACCCGCCCCACCCGTCAACCAACCCTCCGACATTGTCGTTGTCGCGAACTAAGGAATACCGGGAATAAGGAATTACAAAATCAAACGATAAATTGTACCACTATTCATCATATATCATTTTATGTAAAATTTTAAAAATATAAATTTCATTAGTAAATGCAATTATTGCCGTTATTATTCATTCATACATTAATATTTTCTTCCGTCGTAAACTCTTCCGCGACAAATGCGGAATTTTCATAAGCGTGCAATGTTCTAGTCGATTGACCCTGTAATTTCACGCCGACGAAATTTCTTTCATTGGCGTAAATATCATCATACTCGCGACCCTCTATTTGCGATTGTTTTCGTTCTTCCAAAATCGTTGTTCGACGCCTCTGTAATGCTCGCAATACTGTTTGAGACATTCGTTTTGACATGAAACCTCCATTACCTAAACAATAAAGTATCTTTTGAAGAAACGACATACTTAATACAATTATAAATGTCTTTAAATTATAATTTATAAGTAAGAAAACATTTTATTAATTAGATAATTTAAATTAAAAAAAAAAAAATAAAAAAAAAAATAAAAAATCTCGTAAAATTACATACCACTTTGTCCGCATTTATCTAAATTCTTTAAAACAGTAGTACTGAATGTATTGGCGTAAGAGTTTTTCCGGTCAATTCCTGCAATAGTTTGATGAATGGTCATACGTTTTCTTGGCGGAAGTATACTATTATGATCAAAATCTGATTTCATATCTCGATCAATTTGACGTTGAAGTTCCTTCATTATTTTATCTGCATGCCGTTCAATTATAGCCTCTTCGGACAAATCAGTAGTCTTGAATTTTCAAATAATAAATGCAATTAATTTTAAGAATAATATTTGTATAAAAGTTTTAAACATATATATCTAAAAACAAATGACAAAAAAAAAAAAAAAAATTAATTAATCAATTAATTAATTGCCTTTTTTGACGATAAATTGAATGTACTCGATTATTTTTACCAAATGTTTATAAAATTATTTTAATGATGATTTGCACTGTAAATAAATTAAAAAAAATTATTATTTGTATGTACATGGATCTTATACCAATTTCGATCTCTTTAATAAATTAAATCGATATCACAATTAATCATAAATTAAATAATTTGTTAAGAAAATTCGATTTGTTGAAGTGTTTGAAATAGGTGGATTAAATTTCTCGTTTTGCACTTTTACACATTAAAAGAGTTATCCTAATACAATAGTAGTCGCGTAAGCTCATATAGTGAATTTCAATTACGATGGGTTTTTCTTTTCTAAATACTGTTTAATTTCTCTTAAGTTTCATAATAATTTAAAAAATCAAAATATAGAAAAAGCACATTTGAAAAATAAAACTCAGCTGTTAATTTTTTTATATCTATAATATTTAATAAGATATTTTTAAAAATATTAATAACATATTATACGATGAAATAAGTACGAAGAGAAATTTCTATGATTAAAACATGAAATGACAATATTTTCGTTAAAAATTAATTTTCAGTTATTTGCTTGTAAAAGTCATTGTTTATGAATTTTTATTTTTTTATTTTTTTTTTTTTTTATTTAAATTTCATTTTCATACACTTGTAGCCCATGTAACCGATATATATATATATATATATATATATATATATTTCACGTGTTCCTAATTTAATTCAAATAAATTCTATTTTCTCAAAAAAATCTTTAAAATAAAAAATAATAATAATAATGAATGAAAATGAATATTAAGAAAAGCGCCTTGGGAATTTTTATTTACAATATTCACCACATTTGTTATCCTTGAACTGCATCTCTATTTACTTGCAACATGTTGAGTAATGAAACTTTAAAAATAAATTTATTAAAAAAACTTGTCGTAATTTAACAAATGTACTAATCCATAGTTAAGTGTATATAATATAAATTTCGAAAAATATCACAAAACTTAATCAATTGACGTTTATAATATTAAGAGTTATTGCTTCTATTTATACAGAAGCTCCTTAACAAATATTTAAACATCTACATTGTCAAAAAGATATATGTATTGTTGTTAAATTTATTATAATACATAGTTTTACGTGTGATATTATGATTGGAGAAAAATTCGTAAAAATATCCATTTATTTAATCGCATCTTTTTAATTATTAAATTTTAATAATACTAGGAATGTAATTACTCGTTATAATTGGGGATAAATAATATCACAAACCTTATTACAGCAATACCAATCTAGCGTAACTTTAGCCATAATGTGAGAAAACGTGTCAAAACGATGAAAGAGCATTGCAACAAATTGAAAGCACAGAATACTGATGAATCCAATAATAAAGAGACAACCAATTGGCTCCAAATGTAAATATTCTTTAGAAATATTGATCTTTGCATAAGAAATTTATATTTTTATCATTACCATTTACATAACAAGAATATTAGCTAATATAAAACTGTGGGCCAGTTCTTACTTCGGTTTTATCACTGTCATACGTGATCTTGTATTTCACTCCAAGAGGCCATCGTATATATAATGTGTCTTTATTAAGTTGCATTAAAAAGACGATAAAAACAAATAATGAGTTTATCATAAAGAACTTAAAAATGTACTGGTCTCTCAAATCTTTTATTTGCTTGGCAATTTCTGCCTGACGAATCAAAAAGTTTTTAAATTAAATTATATATATATATATATATATATATATATATATATATATATATATATATACACATACACACACACATAGAAACACACACGCATAATATATTGTACAAATATAAAATACAATAAAATAGGTAAAGAATTATTATTTAACATAAGAAAAATTCAATATTATAAGAAATATTTCAATATTTACATAATTTTGTGATTATAAAAATAAATAATAGGCTGTTTTGAAAAATATTTACTCAACGACAACTTCTTGTTTTTTATTCTTCATTTATCCAATTTTTCCTTTACAGAAAAACTTAATTCAATGTTATTCACTTAATTATTTCTTTATTAAACGTTACTTTTTATCTTTATTCATCGATAATCTTTCAATACAAATTGCATCACGTGCTAACAATTAATTATATCTTCTTTATCTTTGTTACATATTTCAGTATATTTTTCAAAAATATAATTACTTTATTAGGTAATTTATTAAGTATCAAATAAAGAATACGGCAAACAGTTTTCAAATTTATTTACCTCCTGTTTCTCATCCTTATCGATGGGATCGAGATAAGCGCTAATTAACCGCTTCCAGAATATCTCCTCCTTGGATTCTAGATACTCGACCTCGCCCTTGCCAAGGGCAGCCCTGTCGTGCAACCAGTTTGGAGAAACGAGGAAGTTGTCGGTGTAGTGGAGGCTCGGGGCATCGTCTCCGTCACTCTCCGTATCCGAACTCCCGTTTTCATCGGAGGTGCTCGACTTCTCGTTGCAATCGACGATAATTGCGTGATGGTCTTGGTTAGCCTTGGGGGTCATTGTCGATTGGGTGCCATTGCCGATGGCTCTACAAGCGTTGTGCTTTGTTTATTCGCTTGTTTTAACGTGCCGGAGTCGTTTAATCCGAGACTATGTTCTATTGGTGTAAGGAGACTAGGTGGTCTTGGCACGCATTATTTAAGAGGTCGATATTGACAGGTAAAAGGAATAGAGCACTATGACACGACTAATGTTATAGCCTAAAACTTCTTTCGATCATTTTTATTCGAATTTCATTCGTACATGAATGTTGTGAGAAAGAACTTGAGCGAACGTTTACCGTTTAATAGTACACGTAAATATCGGCGTATATGCCGATGAGCAAAAGCATATTTATCATAAGTGTTTCATCAGAGTTGCCCATGAAGAATTTTAATTGCAAATTACCTGTGTGTAATGTAAAATGTAAGGCTAAAAACTATTGTAGTAAATATTTTACGATTTATTCAATCGAGAATTGAAAATATTAAAGTCATCGTAAGAATATCAATTTACTGCGCATTTTGTTAAGTGAATATAAAATTTTCATGAATTGTCTTTGAAAGATAATCGAGTACAAACTTTTCCATTTCATCCAATCTTGCTCCCATTTGTATTAACGATGCAGTTATTTCTGTCAGTCGATTATCATTATCGGGCGGTTGTTCTCCAGTGCATCGAAAAGATTGGAAGAATCTAGTAATAGACAAGTTAAAATTTCTTTTCTCATTCGTGACATTTGTAGCCAATGTCTTACTCGATCGATCGATATTACTTTCACTACTCTGTTGCTCCGCCTAAAAGAAATATCTACGAGATAAATTGCCTAACGAACGGTTATTCGAATAACGATTATTTGCACTAAGTGTATGTCAACAAGTATTAGTCGTATAATCGAGTAAGGTATTTTTTAATCTAACAATAGACCAATAATGTAGTTAATGATTAATTATGAAGTTTAATAAAAAAAAAGAACAAAAAAAATGACATTCGTCCGAAAACACAGCAACTGCTGCTATACCGAGAAGTGCAATTATTCTGTTATTCTGTTATTCTGTTATAAGATACACAGGGGAGATATATGAAGCAAGATATTACGAGCGTATCCGACGGGAACTTGGATGCATCCCTCGTTCCCCAGCTAATGTTGTTCATGTTGAAGAGAGAGAAGATGATGAGGAGCATGTAGATGGATGGTAGGGTGACGTAGAAGATGACCCCATAAAGGAGGCAGTTCCACTCGAGTGGATGGAGGAGGCCCGTGGTCACTAGTCCGCCCGCGATTATAAAAAAGAGCAATGTGCTCGGGGCCAGCCATCCGTCGGACGCTATCTCGATCATTATACCCACGAGCACGACCACCATAACCAGTCCATAGATCGTCGAGATAATGCTGGCCACCAGCAGCTGCGAACATGCAAATCGTCCCTTGCCATATCAAACATTCTAGCGAGCTTTAAATCTCCTTGTCGTTTAGCATATCGAAATATCGATCTTCGCTCCTACTATAATTTCATCTAACTCCTATCGTTGAAGCTGTACATGAGAGTGGGGATTGAACATATGGATTACATTGAAGAATGACAGTTATTAGTTAATTCGTGCTGTGTGACGTTTTACGTAAGTGAATTCATAATAATGTCTTTAAATATTATGAATAAGAAAATATGATGTTGGGTGATTGGGCACTAATAATGTCTTATTCTTTCGTCTAAAGCTATTGGATATTAAATTTGCATAAATGGATAAGCTTTTTAATAAAAGGCTTTTGTATTATCTTATATCCATAAAAATATTCGCATTTTCGTGATTATTATGAACGGCCCCTTGTCAATATTTTATTTACAGTTCATTTCGTGAAAAGCCAAAACTTTCTAATCTATAAAAGTGATTTATATGTTTAGTATCAAATTCATTATTAATAGAGTAGAGTAACACACGTATGAATAGTTGCCCGAGGAAAACAAATAAGCTAAATATACTATGTATATATACATATATAATAAATAATGTATTAAATATATTATTCTAAAAACTGTTGTTATTTATATTTTGTTTTTAAAGAAAACTATCATAATTATAAAAAAATATATAAATTTTTTATACGACAGTGTTGAGAGAAGTTGTTTTTGTAATATTTTGTAATTTCATGATATTTCTAATAAATAATTGATTAATATTGCCATTTAGGATGTTCCAAAAAAAATTATTTTTATATTGACGTTACAAAAATTATTTATAACAACAAAAATCTTTTTCATCATATTATTGAATAATAATTTCTTTGTTTTTTTTTTTATCAATGATTTTATTAAAAATTATTAAAATTTACATTTATGTATTGACTTTTTTTTTTGTTTTTTTTTTTTTTTTTTTGTTTTAAATTTGCCGTGTTTATTCCATATTAAGCGAATATTTGAAGGATCAATTTACTTTAATTACTTTAATACTCGAATAAAAGAGTATTTATCATTGTAAATTCATATTTAAAAATAGAACTTACACTTATGCAATCTTATTAAAGAACAATATATGTTACAATAACATATAATACGAATGTTTAATTAATCATTTTTAGTATTTTATTTATAAAAATTGTTTTAATTACTTGCGTTTTTTCATTGCAGTAATAACAGGTAAAGCAAAATATAATTATTGGAACCAGGTTGCAGCCAAAACTAGACCAATTGGCAATTTGGAAAGCGGACACGAAAGCTCCAACAAGCATTAAAAATACTATTCCAGGGCCTAAGATTGTGCTTCCTTAAACAAAAAAATTCAATTGGTTGACCCAAGAGCATAAAAAAAATATACAAATATTAATAAAAAATTTACATATTAAGCATAACACATTAATGCATATAATAATAGTAATGATGTATTTTTTGAATAAATAATTGTTATAATGTTAATAAAAATCAAAGTTATAGATTTAAAGTCGTGAAAGCAATTAGTTTTATATAGCACAGCAAATTTTTACGAAAAAATATTCACGCACAGATAAAAAGTAAAGTTAGGTGATATATTTAGAAAATTTTTCAATCCTACCACTTATCGATCCATTCTCAAAAAGTTAAAAGTGTGCGTTACGTGACGAAATTGCTCCACGTAATTTGCATTACATCAACAATTTTCTCTTTAACTTAATTTATTATAATTACTTACGCATAAAATTAATGATTAAAAGACAAATATTTCGTTTCTTCAAGATACGCGCAACTTTAAATATATTTACATATACTTTTATATTTTTATCTTTGCATCGGGACAAGTTGGATTAATTAAAGAAAAAGTAAATGCTCAATTAAATTTTCTCAGTTAAATTGTGTCCATTGTAGCATTGTAGGGCTATGTAAAGAGTAAATAAAGTTGAATTTTTATTGAAATGCATATTTACGTCGCTTGTCATCCTATATAAATACACATTGGATTATTCCAATAATTATCGTTATTTTATGTATTGAACTAAAAATCCCTACCCATTAATATCCATTGGTAACCTATGTAGATATTAGAAATGTCTCGATTAACTTTTTTCGTCTCTGCAGCTGATTCGAGTAAGTCAAAAACGTTAGCGATTGTCGAAGGAATCCATCTACGTCGCTGAATATAAAACTCGGTAAAAGTTTCTGGAGCGTGTGTATAGGCATCGCTGGCAGCTGAATATTCTACCTAAAAATTGATGAGAACACAGCTCAAATTGTAAATCTGTAATAATGAATATAAAAAAATAAAAATAATAATAATAAAAAAAATTAATTCATTAACACTTAGAAAATTCAGAAAAAGAAAATAAAAGTATTTAAAATCGTTTTTTTTTTTTTTTTTTTTTTTTAGAAAGCATATCAATTATTGTTCATTATCTTTATTATTAATTATTTATTATAAATGTATGGGGAAATATAAATAATGCGTATAAAACGAAAAATTAATGTATAAAGTTTCGGTTGTTAAATTTTGATTTATACTTGGAAAATGTTAGGCAATTTTGAAAAGTAATATTCCGTGATTTGATTTAAAGACAATTTGGGG